TTCTTCTATGGCAGCGTAGCGAGGTTGGTGAACGAGATTGATTGAGAGAGATTGACCAGAGATTTGAGCCGGCTTTAATATTTATTTATTGTCAAATAAATAAAATAAGAAACGAAAAATTGAAAAAAAAAAAAAAGAAAAAAAAAAAGAAAAGGGGTGCGTCTTGAATCTATAATTATAGCTAGCAAATTTTTTGGGGCGTTGTGTTTTTTTTGTGCGTCTCTTTTTAACTGCGATCCGACTTTTGGCGTTGACAAAATTGGAAAGCTCTTGGGAACTTTCTCCCTGGTCATACTTCGGCCATTTGGCAAAAACAATTCTTTGTTTTTTTCTGGTTCAAAAACAGTTTTTTTTTTTTTTTTGTCAACTAGGGTCTAACTCATTAGAAAATGACATTTATTTGCATATTAGTGCTGGTATGTGTGAAAACTCCTCTCCCTTTTATCGAAAATGAAAATAATATCTATACTAAATTATAACATAATTTGCTAATCTAACAAACGTAATTTGAACGTAAAGTATGAGAGTTAATTTTTATCATGAACGTAAAGTAGGAGATAGATACTCTTATTATTTTTAACATAAATGAGAGTTAATTTTTATCATGAACGTAAAGCATGAGATAGATACTCTTATTATTTTTAAGAGATTTGATATAAAGTTATGGTACGACTATATTCTGAATGTTAATTTTCTGCCTTTTCACATTGCTTTATGTTTTATATTATTTTTATCATGAACGTAAAGTATGAGATAGATACTCTTATTATTTTTAAGAGATTTGATATAAAGTTATGGTACAACTATATTATCTATATATATAAAGCAAAAGGTAGAGAATTGTGAGACATTCAAAATATCATAAAATGACATTGGTTAATTCAAACATTAAGAATTGAAATTATTAATTAAATGAGAATAATATAGTAAATTTATATTTTTTTTCATATTAAAAAAATAATAATACAAACAAAATCAGATAATAGGTCCTACTTTTATAGAGCATAACTACCCATCTTATCTTTTCTTAATTCTTTAAAATAAAAATAAAAAAGCATGTGCATTTTATGCTTTTTCACATTGCTTTATGGAATTGTGACTAAATTTTATATTATCTTTTCACCTGCCTCTAGTTCTTCATCTTTTGTTTCTTTATTGTGCCCCAGGTTCTTGTAGAATATTCTTCTATTGTGGTCAAATTAAGTACGCACTAAAATAATGGGAGTAACTCATCCTTCCTTGGAAAGCTCCTTATTTCCTAGATCTTTAGTCTGAATTTTGTTTGCTATGACTGATAAGTACATATTGAATAAAAACATGTAAATTTAAATACCAAAAAAATATTGTATTTACATGTGAAAATATTAATAATACTATTTTTTTTTTTATAACTATTTTTTCTTTAAATCAAATTGGCCAAGCATAAGATGGTTTATAAGCATTAATTTTACATCATTGACCAAACAAAAAATAAAATAAATCAATTTGTAAATTGTTTATCCACACTTTCGCAATATAATTCACAATATCATCAGGAATTGGTATTTGATTGACTCCAATTCCAACACTCAATTTATGACTCCTCCCTTACTCCCCCTCCTCTCCGCTTCCCTCTTCCCCTTCTTCTTTCCCCTCTTTCTCCTTCCTTTCCAACCCCTTTCTATTTCTCTTACTCTCTCCACTTTCCTTGGGTGGCTCTTACTGCCCCTTCTTGGGTTTTTATGCCTATATCTGTTTGGTGAAGGGTCTTCGGTGGCTTCCGGTGGTGCTCTCTATCACGGCGAAGGTGACTACGTCAACGTCAATGTGTTTAGCATTGGTTGCTATGCTCGTTTGTTTTTTGTTGTTGAAGTAGCCACCGAGAAACACTATTATCCATGATATCGTTGTCGTTTTGGCATATACAAGGATTTTGCTCCACTTAAAATTTTGGAGTTACAAAAATGGAAGTTGTCGGATTGTGTGGTTTGGGGTTTAGCAGGTGCGGCCCTAAAGATTTAGCTGGTATAGCATTATGAGTCCCTTCGGTTGCCTGAGAAGATATGGAGCAGTGAGCATGTTTCTTTGTTTGTTTTAGTCTAATAATTCTCACGAACTCTTTAGGAGTTTGCTGTATTTTGTATTTTAGTTTTCGGCTTTCAATACGATGTACTATTTTTTGTCGCCGCGTGGTGGATCGGTCTTGTAAGTCTGAGTACACGTGCTTCTAGCTGCTGAATCGGGGATTTAAGTCTTTTTTGGTTTAGGCATAATTCTCTTGTTAACATGTTGTTGTGCTTGGTCACTAGAGATATTATACACATATTCGACACTATGGCTGCTTTGTACGTTGTTCGGTTTCATCAATAATTATCATCGATTTTTCTCAAAAAAGCAAAACACGTAAGAAATAAAAATAATAATTACGTGGGCTCCACGTTAAAATCTATAATCGAACGCCCTTAAAATCGAGGAATGGAATCAATTAAGAGGAGTGGTTGACCTGATTACAAAAATAATGTATGTGGGACCGACCCATATTAGATAGATGGTAATAAATGTGGTCAATAAATGTTGTACAAATGACATCACTTTGATGACCATATCTCTAATACAAAGTGAGTCCCACATACAAATAACATTACTCAAATAGTGGTTGACATCGTTGTTGCTGTTATTGCTTCAAGTTATTCAAACTTAGAATTGCTTAACCAGAGTGGGAATGTTTTCAATCCTATCGTTTAATTACATTTGATTGTTTATACTAAATCTATGAGTGCCTTATATGTGCAATCCTTGTGAAATATGAGAAGTATTTATCTTTTAGATTGCTTTTGATTACTTTTGTGATCCAAAATGCTCTTATGTGGGTCCAAACTAAGGATCGAACTAGAACTATAGAGGTATGGTTTGATTAAGTTTTGCTTGCTATTTTTATCAGAATCGTATAGAATTTTACTTAGGGCCAATTTGGGATTGTTGTCATTTAAAAAAAAAACAGCTTCTGATGTGCTTTGAAAATAATCAATTGTAAAGTAAAGCAGTTCCATGTTTGATAAATAATATTTTTAAAGTGTTGTTGGTATAATAAGCAATATCAAAACCGTTGGTAAGTTTTAATATAAAACTATTGTAACTATAAATAATGACTAGAATATACATAATGTTGAAAAATATTATATGCTAATCATGTGGTGATGATGAAGGTGGAGGTTGAGATGGAGGTGATAGTGGTGGTGGTGGTGATGAAAATTAATGATGGTATTATGAGAATTGAAAAAATTCACTAAATGCTCATCTCGGCTTCTTTTGAAAGCAACTTAAAAACTATTGTCAAAAGGTCATTACTTTTAAAATAATCATAATATTATATTTTTACCAAACACCTTAAACAACTTAACTTTAGGTCCTGTTTGGTTCGTGGAAATGGTTTGATAGGAAATATTTTCCATGTATTTTCTCAATGAATGAAAAATGGAAGATTCATTTCCCATATTTTATAATATTGGGAAAGTAACCAAGAAATATTACTTTATTTCATTTCCCATGTTTAGAATGTAAAAAAAAAAGTATGTTTAATTTTCCAATTATACTAATATGAAATCAAATAAAACAAATGCATTTAATGTTATATTGTAATTCTAAATTGTTAATGCAAACAAAATTGACATGAAAAATGTGCATTTAACTTATTTTCCCAACGTTTCCCATGGGAAGGGAAAATAAAACCCAAGAGGGGAGGAGGGTTACATTTCCCCCTTATTTTCCCATGTACCAGATAACCATTTCCCAAGCTTAGTGCCAGTTTGACATTGCTTATTTGGGGTGATAAGTGATTTTTAAAATTTTTTGGGAAGTCCAATCCGTTTCGTAAACTGTGAGAAAATCACTTATTGTTAAAAATTGTTGTGAGAGAAAACTATAAGGGAAATCAGCTAATAAGGTGCTTTCATTTTATGATTATGCAGAAATCAGTTTCGAAGAGGAGCTAGGTTTAATGATTAATCGGCAATCATTTTCTGATTAAGAGTAAAATCAATACCAGCAACACTTTTAACAAAAATTTTACCAAACGCCAAACTACTTTATCTCATAGCTGATTTCTCTCACAGCAAATTTAACAGCAATTATTTTCACAGCAAGCAATACCAAACTGGCCTTTAGACTTACCAAACATGGGAAAACAATTGATTTAGCCAAGCCTAAAACCTTCTCTAATCTGCAAGAATTCTATAGATCAAATTGGTTAGCCTGATCTAACAATTAAGAGATAGAACCTCACCTCTGACATAAGCGTTAGCAAAATAGAAAGAAGAGAACAAATTGATCGAGTAGGATTAGGGCCCATTTGGCTCGGGGTGGATTTGGATTTGGGTACTCGGCTTTGTATTTGGGCTTAAATACCAAGAGGATTTTGTAAACCCAAATTCAGGGATATAGCTTATGAACTGCATCGCTCTCTCGCTCCCTCTCGCTTTCTCTTGCTCACCGTCTCTCTGTCCTCTTCGCGCTCTCTCTCTCTTGCTTTCAACTTGGTCGCTCTTTCTCAGCTCTGGTAAACAGTTCTCCCTCCTCTTTCTCTATTACATATTATATGGTCGGTATTTCGTGGGGGTGAATATGAATTTGAACTTTCATTGAAGTAGGAAATTTGGGTTTGTTGATTTGACTGAATTCTGTGTTTTTATTATGTGCTATTTTTGTGCAGGTTGGAACTCCAATTTCTACTGTTGATATAGCAGAGAAGGGGCTGAAGGTATCCGTTAAGGTATGATATTGCAGCGAACTTGGTTTGTGTATAGTTGAAGCAATATTTTTACGCCTTTAAGGGAGATGGGCTTCTAGTTATGTTCAGATGTCATTATATTAGAAGAAAATATTACAGAGCATTAAAGTTGATCAATGATGTTTTTCTAATCTTTATGCAAACTGCTTTGCCCCATTCTTTGTGTTTTGAAGATTTCCAGTATTTGTTGTGTTTATGTCCAAATACAAGTGTTTACTGCTAAATTGCTAATGGGTTGGTTGTGTAACCTCATGCTTCTCATTATTCACTTATTGCTTGTGCTTTTCGGATCTGTCTTAAATCCACTGACTCTCAATCTCAGAGCTTCTGAAGTTTATTAGCTGCCAAACAAATGTCATGTCCCAAGCATCCCATAGTGAAAAAATAGAATAGGTTATACTAAATATCTGATAATAATTAGAGAGGGAGAAAGTCTAATGGACCTAAAACCAAACTTTCATGAAGAGGTGACATATTGTGTCCAAAATGAATAGTTATGATATTATGATGTCATGAACTTTCTGTTACTCTGTGATTGAACAATTGCAATCACACTAATTGTGTACGCCTCCCTCTATAGTTCTCTATGCAGCTGTAAAGAAAATTTTGTTTTAAGCCCCTTCTAGGGAAAAAAAACAGTAATCTTAACCTTGTTTGTTTCCCTCCCTGTACTTCCCAAATCCCAGTTCTCCGTCTCTTTTTTTTAAGGCCAAGTTCCAGTCATCTGCATGTCTTAGTTTCTTAAATTACTTTAGGTGTTTCACATAGATAGGACAAAATTCAGCAATATGAGGAATTGAAGATGTTTGGTCGTCGAGAGAGTTACTTAGGTGATAGCTGCTTTGGTTATTGTCAAAACAGGGGCATTGAAACCTTCTTAAAAATCAGCATAGAAAGTGGGTTAGGTTTAATCCCCCAGGGTGCTATAGTTCTATTGTTAGCAAGCAAAAGTAAAAGGCAAAACATGATACTTTGGTGCATGTCAAAACAGGGGCATTTCTCTTTGTTCAGCAGAAAATAAGTGATTCTCTAAAATCGTCAAAATACCAACCTCCAGATTGTGTTTCCCCTCTTCTGCTGCTTCTTTTTAATCTTTTAATTTAATAGGTATAGTACAGTGCACATGCAAGCTTTGAACATGCTAGAATATGTTACATCGTCATGTCCCCTTATATAGCATGACTGTAGCTGCCACATGATCTCAGTTTTTCTGTAGCAAAGACCCTTTTCTTTATTCTGACACTCTCTCCCTCCCTCAAAATCAAAGGCATTTACAGTAAAGCCAAGCCAATACTTAAAAGGAAAAGCGAAAGCCCCAATCATCATGGAGAATGGTGAAATTCCCGAAAACGCCAATGAACGTAAGTCTTTCTTCATAATCTCAATTCTCAAGGTTTTACTGGGTTTTGTTCAGTTGGGCTGTCTTAATTTCTTCTTCATCTTTTTATAATAATAATATTATTTTTTTTACTATTATTTTTTTAAAATTTGTGGGAATTTTTTTATTTTTTTTTTCAGATTGTCCAGGTCCTCAGTCCGATTCTGCTGGAAAATCTGATGCATGCGAAGGATGCCCAAATCAACAAATTTGTGCTACTGCTCCAAAGGGGCCTGACCCAGGTTTCCTTTCACTCTTTTACTGCTAAAGCTATGCTTTTGTTCAGCTTTAGCTGCAAACTTCAACTGTTTTTTGGTTAATTATGGCCAGTGATTCTTGTAAGTTATTTTTTTTGTGTTGCTCTGAGTTATTCAAGTATGATAAGCATTTAGATGAACAAGCCAAAGTGGATCCTTTTATGTGAATGGCATGAAATTGTTGATTCGGATCAATCATGAATAATTTGGCCCTAGTAATCTTTGCACATCTGAATAATAGCATGATTTTTTCACTTGACGGCACTTGATATGTAGCATTTCTTTGGAGCTATGAATTAAATTAAAACACTTCATATGCATCAAAATAATCTCAAGCTTGTTTCTTCTTATATTTTATGTGCTGCCTCCAAAGTTCGAATGTAATTTTGTAATTATGTGGCTTATACCTTATTAGATGGTGGTGTTGTTGCGGGGAGGGGGATAAAATATTAATAACCCCTCTGTGATTTTATTCATTTGTGCAACTGTGCTAGTTTTGGTTCCATGTCGACATTCTCTTTCCTCCATAAAAAGCCATCTTATATGACTCAAAGGATGATGTGCCTTTGTACAGACGTGGTTGCTATTGCAGAAAGGATGGCCACTGTAAAGCATAAGATACTGGTTTTATCAGGAAAAGGTGGAGTTGGCAAAAGCACATTCTCTGCCCAACTTGCATTTGCACTAGCTGCTATGGACTTCCAGGTGGGTCTTCTTGACATTGACATTTGTGGTCCGAGCATCCCGAAGATGCTTGGCCTAGAAGGCCAAGAAATCCACCAGAGCAACCTTGGCTGGTCTCCTGTCTATGTTGAGTCCAACCTTGGGGTCATGTCAATTGGGTTCATGCTTCCAGAACCTGATGAAGCTGTTATATGGAGGGGACCGCGCAAAAATGCGCTCATTAAGCAATTCTTGAAGGATGTTTATTGGGGTGAGCTTGATTTTCTAGTAGTTGATGCTCCTCCTGGGACCTCAGATGAGCACATTTCAATTGTTCAATACCTCGATGCTGGTTCAATAGATGGTGCAATCATAGTCACCACTCCACAACAGGTCTCCCTGATTGATGTTCGGAAAGAAGTAAGTTTCTGCAAGAAAGTTGGGGTTCAGGTCCTTGGGATTGTTGAGAACATGAGTGGCTTGTGCCAGCCAGTGATGGATTTCAAATTTTTGAGGATGACAGAGACCGGTGAGCAAATAGACGTCACAGAATGGGCAAGGGAGCATCTGAAAGAGAGAGCACCAGAATTTTTAAACATAATAGCTTGCACTGAAGTGTTTGATAGTAGCGGTGGTGGAGCCGAAAGAATGTGCAGGGAAATGGGGGTGCCCTTTCTGGGGAAGGTACCATTGGACCCCCAGCTTTGCAAGGCAGCTGAAGAAGGTAGATCTTGTTTTGTTGATCAGAAGTGCGGGGTGAGTGCACCTGCACTGAAGAAAATCATAGATAAAATGATGGAAAATCAGGGATTATCTAGAATGTTGGTAGACAACAATGCATAGGTGATTGGCTTCACCAAGTGATCTTCGTAGATCAAGATTTTATTCGAGTTTTACCTCAACACTTTAATGGTTGTGTACAATATTTTTTTTTTGGCATGTGAATTGTCCTTTTGTTATATGGAATTTATAGAACAATTTTATTTATTTTCTTTTTAATTCCTTTTTTATAATATCACAATTTTCTTGACCATGAATCCTCGTAAATGTATTATTTGTAGGGTGGATTTGGATTTGGACTCCCAAATCCAAATTCAACTGTTTAGGTATGTATTAATTGCACGGATTTGTATTTGGGCTAAATCCTGAGAGGATTTTCGACTGACTGATACTTACCAAGTTCATCTCTTTCAAATTATTGTTATTATTATGCTTAACCTTTTTCTAAATTTGTTTACTTATTCTATAAATTGAAAAAATTACAGATCTTTAAGATTCAGGTATTCCATTTGGACGTATGGAAGGTATACATTCCATTTGGACGTTAGAAGTGACCCATCACTCTTCTATGGAGGATTATTATCTTTGACTGGCCGTTGAATGGGACAATCACTGATAATGCTCTGGTAACAGGGCTCAAGGCAGTCTTCAAGCCTCAACTCTGGTGCATTGTGTAAGGATCACTGACAGTGGGATGCAGCGTGTGTTCGACAGCAACCCAAAACGAACAAAGGTGAGTATTTGAAACTTTGTATTCTCTATATTCCTGAATTGAGCAAGTCTGTTTCCTGCTTATGTTTCTGCTTATGATTTTGTATATCAGTGTGCCTCTCCTTTTTTCAGTGACAATAATTTTTAAAAGAGATGCTTTTGTGCTGCCTAAGAATATAATGTTAAGTTACGTATGAGCCCTGGGACTACTTTCATATGGGGGCTTTTAGTAGTAAGCCACAAATGACTACTGTTTCATATATGGTTTCTATGAAAAACATTTCTTGTGTGCCTCCTATTAAAACTAAAAGTGAAAATCCCGTTTGCCATAAGATAATAAACAGAGTGGCTATAAAACTTGATGAAGTTATTGTATGTTGCTGTTCTTACACGCATGTTGAGATGAACTCATGTCGTTTATAGTAAGTAGGTTGAAGACTATCATTCCTGTAGTGGTTTTCTGGCCTTTTAATTGGCGTCCTTTAGTTATATGCCAATCTGTGTGTTGTCGTGTCTAATACAATGTCGAACTACGGAGTGAATAAGTTTTGGATTAATATGCAGCCCTTGATACTGAACATGTTTCAGTGTTTTGTTGTAGATTTTGCTTATTGATCACTTAACTGATATTGCAAGTCAGCATAGTTTTTATCTTTTTGTATTAATCATGCTAACTGTTTGTCAGGAGAATAGGTATCAATTTTGCCTTATTGGCCAATGGAAAGATATTGCATATTCGTTTTGCTGTTGATTGTGGATTAGAATCTACCAGGGTTGGTTGGCTGTTCAGAAATGGGCACAAGCTATTTAATTCATGCTTGGTTGCCACAGTAAGGATTTGTATTAACATGAGGAACTTGCAGCTTGTAAAGCTGTAGATACTCTCCTGTGGAAAAAAAATGAAAAAGAAAAAAAAAAGGGAATAATAGAGCTGAGATGAGGTTACAATAGAAAGATGGGAAATTTGTATAAATGACACCTGAACTTTGAGGCATATGCAAAATTACCACCTAAACTTTTAATTTTTATTATTAACCACCTAAACTTTACATAGTGTTGCAATGTACCACTGTTAAACTTTCCTTTAAATTTAAGGGTATTTTTGTAAATTTTCTATAACTGAAAAACTTAAAATTTCTGAAAGTAATAGAATGATAAATATATTTTTTATTTATGCATCTTCCAACACCAATTATCCACCACTACCGAGTAGCTCCCTCCCCCACCCTCTGCATACACCCTACTTTATATATCTCTCTCCCTCCCCCGAATCAAAAAGCTTTTGGGGTAGGTTGTTGAAGAATTGAGTGATCAAAAGACAGATATATTGTTTGGCATATGGTAACCTTCGACAAGAATTGAGTGTATTTGCAATATGGCTATAGGAGTAGGAGATGTTGTTTAATAAGTAAATATTGCAGACGATCATATATTAAATATTCTTCTTCTTCGATGGAGAGAGAGAGAGAGAGAGAGAGAGAGAGAGAGATGAATTAGGGTGTATTAAGACATTGCAGAGGGTGGGGGATGGGGCCATTAGGCAGTGCGGCATAGTTGGTGTTGGAAGGGGTGGGGGGAAGTTGTAGGATAGTGAGGTTAGGTTTTTTTTTCCTTTTTTTATTTATTTATAATTTTTATTTATTTTATAACATGATTATGTTTGTTTTAACAAATTGCAATTTTATAAGAAATTGACCGAAATGCCCTTAAACTTAACAAAAAGTTTAACAGAGTTAGACGTAGTCGGTATATTGCAACACTCTATAAAGTTTAGGTGGTTAATAGTAAAAATTAAAAGTTTAAATGGTAACCACAAATAACCCTAAAAGTTTAAGTGGTATTTTTGCAAATTTCCCTAGAAAGATTGATTGAGATAGGGAAAGGTGAATGACAGTCTGTAGAATATTGTCCTCAATAAATAACAGTTGCATCCATAAAATAAATAAATAAATAAATAACCATATATATATATATATTGTTATGTTTTGTGCTTTTTGATTTCTTTCTTTGCATCTATATAAATGTCAGCAACAACTAATGTATTGAATTTGAAGTGTTTTATTATTCTTTTTACTTGAGAAAACATTTACTCATATTATTACTTCGGAAAAAATATTTAATCATATTTTTACTTTGAAAAATATTTATGCATTAATACTTTGGGAAAAAAAAGTTCAAACCATTTCATAAATTGATAATTATATTCATAGAAAATACTCGAAACTCCATCCCAGGAATTTTTTTTAAAAAAATAAACAAGTCCTAAGCATTTTATTTATTTATTTTTTAAACTTGTTTTAACTTTTAAGTGGGGCGTCTTTTTCTCTCCCGCTCACCTAAGGACCTGAACATGGGGATTTGTGAAGACCTCTTTAATGAAAGCCATTGAATTAATCTAAGAGCACCTCTGCCGCTCCACCCAAACCATGGCAACAGGCCCACCAAGCCCAGTTTCCTCCCTCCAATGCGCAGCCTGAAGCTCGGGCAAGCTCAAGGGCAATTCTCGACTGGGCTCTAGCCCGAGGCCACTGACGTTAGCGTGACATCACGCATGATGCCAGTGCTGACAGCTCCTAACTGGAAGACGCCATGTGGCGTTTCTCGGATGCTCCGATTAGTTTTTGTCTAGAAATCCGACGGACTTGATTTTTTTGGCTAACAAAATTGATTTTTTTTTAATACCAAAAATTTCTGGATTTTTTCCCATACCTAACCATTTTATTCACTTTCCACACCAAATCTTCATACAACTCTTCTCTTTCCAATATTTTTTAGGGAGTTTCACTAAAATACCCAAAATGAGAGCTTCAATTATAAAAAAACTCAAGCACTATTTAAACATATAATTATAAACACACCCAAAACCCATCATTACACACACTCAAAATCCATTTATAAACACACCCAAAAAGTTGACTTTGGGGTTGATTTTGGGTGTATTTCTATGTTTAAATAGTGTTTGGGTTTTTCTATAAATACATGTCTAGGATTGGGTTTATTTATAAATTTGTATATTTTTTACTCTCCACTCATATTTTTATACTACTTATCTGAAATATGAGATTTTATATATATATATATATATATATATATATATTAATATATATACACAAATCTTATATAAAATTTGATGGACACATGGATATTATCTGAAAAGTTTATCAAAATTAATGGTTAAGTATTAAAAAATAATAATAATAAAGTAAAGTTAATAGAATTTGCCCTTGCCCTTGCCCTTTGGGGTAAAACAAGAGTGCCATTACTGATGTGAATAGTGTCAAACCTTGCTTTGCCCTTGCCTTTTGGGGTGGAGGTGCTCTAACGACACATCTTTTAATTTGCAAACCAACCAAGAAAAAAAATATGGTTAGCGCTAACTGGGAATTGTAGGGAAGGGACAAGCATTGAACGTGTTTTATTTTTTAAGACCACTAACTACATGCGTCGTTATCCAAATGGCTTTTATCAAAAAAGTCTTCACAGGTTCTCATTTTTAGGTATTTAGATGAGCAGGACTACTCAATATAAAATGGGGACAAACTTTGCACTATCTTGAATTGTTTCCCTTTCAAATAACTTCTTTTTTTTTTTTTTTTTTTTTCCCAAGTGCTATTTCTAAATTATTCTAATGCACGAGAATGGGATCAAACTTGATACACAAACACTTAGAGCAGTTTTCAAGCAGTACTCCATTCTCTTTGGAGCTCAGTTTTCAGCTGCGCAACTTCATTTTCAGGCAGAACCACAGTCACTAGCCGGCCGCCACGAATATTAGCTTCCTCTTTGCCATAATTTGGCCCTGGAAGCACCAAAACAACCCCTTCATCACCAACCCCATTAATGCAATAATTTGCATAAACTGGTTTTTGTCCCTTCAATTCAAGCCCATAAATCTCTGCCTCTTCCAAATTCACAAATGCCAAATTTGCTCCATATGCTATGAAGTCTGAACTCCCACTCTCCAACCCTTTCATTTCCTCAACTATTCCTTTCTCTTCTGCCCTTCTGTTCAAAATCAGCTCCACCAACTCTGAGACATCAGCTTCTGTGACCAAGAAATCAGCTTCAACTGTGCTCAAAACCATGTTGTTACTTGGAATTTCATATTCTCTCTCATGGGAATTTGTGCAAATTGTCACCCTTCTTGTCTGCGCTGAGTTTTCCTTAATTTTCGACAAGGATTTCCAAATTATAGCAGAAAGAACTTCAAAAGCTGAGAACTTGGTTGATTGGTTTGAGAGCAAATGATCAAGTTTCTTGGCAGAAACATGAAAAGTATGTTTCCTCATCTTGCAGTTGTTGGGTGTCACCCAGTAATCTCCTACTGAATCAACCCTTTTCAGAGAAGATGATGTGTTAGGGGTTGAAGGTGCTGGGAATTCAGGTTTTCCAGGAACTGGCACGTGCAAAGGTTTGAGTGGCAGGTGACCTGCCATGATCTTCCCCAACATGTTGATGAATGCTGAGGCAGAAAATGCATCTCCAAGAACATTGGCCCAGCTCAGTCCTACTGACATTCCTCCACATTTAAACCAAGTGAACTGCTTAGAAGAAATCATCACATGAAAAGAGAAAAAACAAAAGAAAAAAAAGAAAGAAAGAAAAGAGCAGTGACATTAGAGGGAAGAACCGTGTAATTTTAAAAAAGAAAACGTAAGAAGAGAGTTTGTTTTCTCCTATTTCTAAAGAGAAAACTTGTTAGTATAAGTAAATTTCCCCTCTAACAAACATTACATGAATGACTTAAAAACATTTTGCTTTCACATGTTATTTTTGTATTAGTTTATACTAATATTCTAAATTTTCAGCCTCCAACATTATAATTCTAACTCTGCTCGTATATGAGAACATAAATAAGGGCCGCAACGCAAGAGAAGTGGTAAACATCCCTTCCTCGTAGCTACTCATCACATGTTAGTTACACAATGAAATAATTGTGAGTAGATGATATAACTCATGTCATTGAATTCTCCCCATCTATATAGGCACCGACTGAATATATACTAAATACCAAAAAATATGTAGAAGTAATGATTTAATTTTTTTTTAGAATATATACAATTTAATTGAAAACTAATAGCAAATTATAAATTTAACAAATAGATAGTAAATACCAAAAATAAGTGGTTGTGCTAGAATATAGGAAGAGTAAATCTTGAGTCAAAGCAAACTTTCCACTTCCCCGATTGGTAAACTTGTGAAGAAATTTTCATCAGATATGGTTTGCTTTAGTTTCTAGATTTGGGATTTTGGCAAATTCCTCTTTCCTTTGTCTATTTTTACTTGAAAAGCTAAGCTATAAATTACCTGTAAAAAGACCAAAGGAGAGAAACCAAGATCAGGACCAAGGGCTTGGTTATAAGTAAGACCATCAAAGCGAGAAGAATCCTCCATGGCCATGGCCAGCCATTGATCCATAGCTTCCTCAGAATATGCCTCTACAATTCTCACACCACTATCATTGCACTTGATGAAGGGCCTGCCGGTTTCGGATCGCCGAATCCTCCCGGAGGCAGTGAATTGGAGCTGCAGCAGATGAAACATAGGTTTCTTCAGGTCATATATTGTGAGCCCTTCAACTGCATCACTCTTGAAGAAGTAGAGCCCTTCGATGTAATGAAGCTTCATGGCCAAGTCCATGTCTGTGAGCTCATGGACCATGTTTTGCTCAGCTGTCACGGTGGCTGGCACAACTGAGGAAAGCCTCAAGCCTGTTGAAATCATTTTTAGTGAAACAAAATGGTGTCTAATTCATGGCATGTTCAATGAAAACCTTGTGATGGAACTATATATATAGCTAGCTAGGAGGAGTATGATTGGTTGTTGCTAGCTACTGCTTTTAATGTAGACTATATTTTGTAGCTGGATATGTTCTAGATCGCCTTTTATTGGATAAATATTTATATGTAATCATAACATAGTTACGTGGTGTTGTTATATAATTTGTGTGTTATAACGTAAGTCGGTGAAAAACAACAGGAAATTTTTTATACAAATTTATAAAAAAACCCAATTCTAGGCATGTATTTATAAAAAAACCCAAACACTATTTAAACATAGAAACACACCCAAAAGTCAACTTTTTTGGTGTGTTTATAAATGAGTTTTGATTGTGTGTAATGATGGGGTTTTGGGTGTGTTTTTATGTTTAAATAGTGTTTGAGTTTTTTTATAATTTCAACCCTCATTTTGGGTGTTTTAGTGAAACTCCCAATTTTTTATGTGACATGATTTTGTCTGAGAATTCTTATCCATGCAGGCATTGGATAAACGTCTGACACATAAATATTGGTTACACCAACACTGTTTTTCAAGTTTGTTGTGATGACCAGATTATGTGACATGTAGAATGGTAATAATGTTAAATTTGAGGGAGATGGCTTTAATGACTTACAAAGCTCAGTAGGTGTGAAGTTTTATCATAAAAGGCTTTGGTAGTGCAATTAGTAGTATAACTATTTATTATATGTTTTATTTTATTTTGTCAAATTTCTAATGTGGGACTTTATTCATCAACAAATAATACCTTAGTTGTTAGGACTAAAAATTGGTTGCAATGAGAATAACACTGTTTTGTTATACCGGACCAATAATGATAGATCACATGGATTATATTATCACCCGTATCATAGTATTATTGGCCAAAGATAATAAAATAGTGTTATTCCCATTTCATGAAAATCTTTCTCCGGTTGTTATACATAAATCAGATTTAGATCATAAACTTGTGATAAATGTTGTACAACTAAAAGAAATTAAAGGTACACTTTTCACAGAATCAAGAAGTGCCCATCTAAAAATAATTTTAATTTTTTTCATCTCATGTGATGAGTTAGATAAAACATATCAAATATAGTTGAGTTGGGTACACTGTATAGAAACCAAAATACACCTCCTTCCACCGAACTGGGAGGAAGCATTGATTTCTCCAATCTCACCTAGTTACGAACTCGCCTCCTTCAAGATATTGCTGGAAGTTGGAAGTTGGAAGTTGGAACCCATGTCTCTGGAGTTAGTTGTTTGTCTTTCATCAGTTTTAATATTTGCTTCTCCTCCCTCTTGTATCGACCCTGCAGCTAACCTAATTAAGAACTGGCCTCTCAAGTAGCTGGAAGTTGGAACCCAGGACTCGTCTCTTTCTTTCCATCTTAATCTTTTGTTGTCTCTTTCTTTCCTCTTATCCTCAATCCATGCTCATCTAATGAAGAACTAATCTCCTAAAAGATGTAGCTAGAAAACATATGCATCCTTAATTTTGGTTGTTTCCTTCTTCGTCTTATCTTCATCAGAAGATTAAAATGAAAAATTCAATAAAAACGGACATATGTCTTGTCACATATTTAATACACTGACAACTGTGGAAAATAATTTTGAGGGGAAAATAGTTTCCTTTACAAACTTATTTTAGTTCTGCCTTGATCCCTTAATTTTCAATTGCATCGAATTTGATCCGTGCAGTTTGCAAATTGTTCCAATTTAAGAACGTTGGTACACTTCCATTCATTTATAACAAAACGAACGTTGACACATGCAGGGGCGGAACTACCTATAAGGCTATCTTGGGTTGGGCCAGGTAGCTTTTTGAATATATTTTTTTAACCTATTGTAGCCCTTGTTTAAATAAAAGCAAAATTAATATATAACTTATTAACTTGTTCCCACTTGTGGTTGGGGCCTTCGTATGTGGTTTTTTTTTTGGGAATTTTCCCACTATTTCTATTAATAGGGAAATACTAACAGGACTAAAAACATGTTTTACACTTGTACTTCCTTCTAATATTATTGTGTTGTATTAAAGTTGTGGAATTTTTGCGAAATTCCATAACCCAAATGTTCTTAAAAACGGCATAGCACTATTTGATTATCATAAAAACTACAACGTCTCTTATTCTCAAACTCCTTATTCACTCGACTTACAAGTCCCTTTTCTACATAATTTTTTTTTTAATAACTTTGCTTTCAATTGATTCGTTATTTTCAGAGAACCATAGTTTTCAATGCAATAAGTTCTTTTCGTTGGTCCACCACCAGTTTGTTTCAAGCTATTTTCAATTCTGGGCCACTTCCTTGTCATCAATGTTTAAAACTTGGTTGGAACATGTGTATGAATTAGACCATGATAGGTAGGCGAATGGGAGTTCTTGGCGTGATACCTTGCAGTTGATGTGCCATTTTGATTTGCTTGTCCCTTTCTTTTTTGGTCAAAATTTTGATTTTCTTGTCTCTATGCGCACATTCAGAGAATTGATGTCTGGATAATTTGAGCACCTACTAAAAAATTTTAACTCTTTTTTTAGAGTATGTCTGTAAATTGGATGAGCAGATCGTTCATACAAGTTATGGCTGTAATTTATAGTCGGAAAATGCAACTGCCAATGAGAAGCCTTTCCGTTCACAGCAATGCCGATGAATATATTGATGAAAGCCGTATCAGCTCTAGAAAAATTGGTGCATGAGGTTTATTCACTCTCTCATCTTTTGTTTTACAGCAATGCTAAATCGGTCATTTGTTGAGTAATCTCAAAGATTATATGAACAAATATTGGGATTATGGGCTTGGCGATAGGGCTTTGACATCTATAGTTTCCTTCTTCTGGTTTGGGCTTTGGCCCGCCTCTGTATAGGGAATGTGTTTTTTAACCATAATTCAAGATACGTGCACGTTTATTAACTTCGGATATATTAGGCCCGTTTGGTATTATATTTGGATTCATGTTTTTAAACTTTGAGTCCAAAGTTCATAATTCATATTTGGTTAAGCTCATTTATCAAAAGTCCAACTTAAAAAGGCCCAATTTTAATAACAAAAAAGTGAGATTTTTTTATTATTTTTTATCTCTCTATGTCTTCTTGGATGGCAAACCTAACCCTGCCATGCCCCGTTACCACTGAGTGAGACTTGAGTGAAAATGGGAGTAAACCACAAAGTCAAATAGGCCCTTTAGTGTTACTATTCATCAATACGATAGGTAGGGGTGGCAATTTCGGACACGACCTGATACACGATTTGAAACCCGCACAAGAAATGAGCGGGTTGGGTTTCGAACCCCCACCACCCTCATTTCTCTCAAACATCTTATCCACCATGCTACAAACAACTTTGTGATTTTATGATATGCCTTTCGATATTTATAATGTTTTTTTTTCTTTTATGTTTTCCTTTGTTTTCCGTCTCTCTTTTTTTTCTTTCTTTTCCTTCTTTCTTCTTTCTCCTCTCTCTTTTCCTTTCCTATTCTCTCCTTTTGTTTCTCTTTCTTTTCCTTCTCTTTAGTTTTCTCTCATCTCTCTTTTTTCTTTCTTTCTTTCCTTCAATCTGCTCGCCTCTCTCTCTCTCTCTCTCTATTTTTTTTTCTTTCTTTTCCTTCTATCTTTTCTCCTCTCTCTAACTTTTTTTTCTTTCTTTTCCTTATATTTTCTCTACTCTCTCTGTTTTTTTTTTAATTTAAATATTTTTAGTTGTGAGTTTCGTAACATACATGTTATTATTTATGAACCCGTTACACGACTCGAAACCCGCACAATAAAAGACGACCCGAACCCGACACAACACGACGATCAAATGGGTTGGGTTCGGGTTGAGCATTCTTGACACATTTATTATCCCGACACGACACGAACCCGACACGACATGACCTATTGTCAGCCCTAACGATAGGTGTTAAGTTGTTTCTGCTCCAACCCTCCAAGCTCATAATTTACCAGCCAATTTTATTTATTATTAAAAATTATTTTAACCTCCGTTTGTTTGGTCCTTTTTTGGCAAACAAATCAATCAAATTTCAAATTATGACATCAACATTTTATTTCGTAGACATAACATTTTTGTGCAGATTTTTGAACAATTAGAAATTTGGATTTTTTTATGTGAATTCGAGCTGGATTTATTAATGTTAAAATTTTAATGTCTGGATTTAAATTTTAGTCGTGGTTTTGTTTTACCATTGGATTTGATTTGATTATTGAATTTCGGCCATTGAATTGAGATAGCCTATACTTATTTGGAAAACAAAATTTGAATTTGGACCATTAATATCCAACGGTTTGAAATTCCTGACTATTAAGTGAAAAATGACGTGATGTATAATTGGCTAACAAACACGCCATTGACGGACCTTGTGTAACGACACTAAATGACAAATAGTACGCCACTTTCTCAATCCATCATGTAGGTTATTGAGTTGTTTTTCTCGTAATTTGGCTTCTTTTTTAATCCACTTCCTCCTAATTTTGCCTAACCTTAATCACAACCACATTCATTTAACATCTAGGGTCAAAATCTGATTTTATATGTTTTTTTGAATTTCTTGACACTAAAACGACACCGTAACGAACTGATTTTTCCTTTACTTCACTCTTGTCTCTAGTGCTTGTTGCTCATTGTGTTGATCTCTCTCCGTTGTTTTTCCATTTGCTATTAAAAAAACTTTATTGAAATTAGGTTAAGTTACAGGGGCATAAAATATAAATTGGCCTTTTTATTTTTGATATTATATATTTTGCCCTTGTTCAATTTCATACAAACAAGGCTTCTGTCTTCCTTTCAAAAGAAAAAAAAGGCTTGTGCCCTGTGGTGTTAAGTTGTGCAACGATGAAAGCAAATAGAGTTACACCCAAACACACATCCACGAATTCATTAATTTAATTGTTTTTTTTTTAAAGTAAAAATTGACGCAGACAGGCGCGTGGGTTATCACGCAAAAGAAACATAAAAACATTTATAATAAATAATAAATAAAAACCAATTGGCTAAATTGCTCTCTCGCCTCATTTATACCAAATCTCTTATTTATGGCTATTTTATTATTTTATTATTTCTTTAATCGGATGCCACTTTTCCTCTGACCCTCACTCTCTCTCTCTCTCTCTCTCTCTCTCTCTCTCTCTCTCTCTCTCTCTCTCTAA